TGCAATGCCGTCATGCCCTTCACTGGCTGCCTCGCCCTCGACAGTTCCTTCATGGTGATATTCTGCATCGTCTCGGGCTCGCCGGAGATGAGGCTTACCACGACGATCCACGGCACGAGCACTCCAGGTTTGCAGCAATGCGCAACCTCGTGTTGCTCTATTACCTATACCTGGAGGTCAAGCCTACGGCGTCGTCTACAAGATCACCTACTTCCGCATACTCCACGCACAAGACCTGCCACAGGGTCGCCCTGGACAGGCTTAACAACAACTTCTGAGTCTGGCCCCGCCCGCCGGCCAGCCAGACGAACCGCATGCGGGCACTGGCGTTCCTCCTCCTCCTCCTCCTCCTCCTCCTCCTCCTCCTCCTCCTCCTCCTCCTCCTCCTCCTCCCCCTCCTCCTCCCCCTCCCCCGGGCCCCCCTCGGCTCGTGCGCGGATTTACGGTCAGGCACTTTGGCTCGGCGTGTCGCGCCGCCGGTTCTGGCCCACCGCGCTTCGGCGCGCCACGCCATCCATTTCCCCGTCCAGGGTCGTCGACGTCTCGAGCTTTTCCCGGGCTCCCGCCCCGCGGAGCGGAGCAACGCGCTGTCCGCTCGCAAGGCACAGCGTGTTACCGCGTGGCGCCGGGGCCCGCCGCCGCGACACGATATCCACAACAATGTCCTGCCCGTATGTTGTTCCACGGCTCCATGGCCCGAGCGGCGCGCTCCTGCGTCTCGCGCTGCGGCGTGGCATGGCTGCGGTGATGTGCGGTGTTCGAGGTTGGCAGGATCCTGCTGGTGGTCGGCGCCGGGAGCAACAAACATTGACGAGGGCCCGCGGGAGCGGCCCCCTGGACGGCCGAGGTCGCGAGAGCAGCGGCAGTGCTCGCTTCTTCCCCGCGGCTCCGGGAGTCCAGGCATATCCGCGCTGTCGCCCCCCTCCCGACCCAGAGCGCCCCGGCAGGACGCCGCGCCCCTCACGGGACGCGGGCACCTCCCTCCTCCTCCGTTCTTCTCCGTGCTCCGCCGTCGTGCTCCACCGTCCCTTCGTCCTCCTTCGTCTTCGTCATCGTCGTCCTCCTCTCACTCTCGCCCGTCGTGTGTCGATCCCTCTCGGTGGATTTGTTTGTTGTTCTCCCTCTCTCTTTTTCTCTTTCTCTCTCTCTCTCGTTTCCCCAACCATCCTGTGGTGTTGGGTCCTCGTTTTGAAGAGACGGTGCCCCGCGTCCTCCTCTCCTCTCCTCTCCTCTCCTCCTCCTCCCCCCTCCTCCCTCCTCCCGTCATCATCATCATCGTCATCATCATCACCATCATCGTCGTCATCGTCATCGTCATCATCGTCGTCGTCATCATCGTCATCATCGTAAGCATCACCATCATCACCATCATCGTCGTCATCGTCATCGTCATCATCGTCGTCGTCATCATCGTCATCATCGTAAGCATCACCATCATCGCCATCATCATCGCCGTTATCGCCACCATCATCATCATTGTCATCCTCCTCATCATCATCAGCATCATCATCATAATCATCATCATCATAATCATCATCATCCTCCGCATCATCACCATCACCATCACCATCACCATCACCATCACCATCACCATCACCATCACCATCATCATCATCATCATCATCATCATCATCATCATCATCATCATCATCATCATCATCATCATCATCATCATCAGCATGCGTCCCCTGCACCCATTTCGGCACACCCCTCACACGTTTCGTGGCCCCAAAGGGAGCTCCACCGAAGGCCCCAGTGGCTGCGCTCGCATGCGGTTCCACCCCCATTTTCGGCACACCCCTCACACGTTTCGTGGCCCCACAGGGAGCTCCACCGAACGCCCCAGTGGCTGCGCTCGCATGCGGTTCCACCCCCCATTTCGGCACACCCCTCATACGTTTCGTGGCCCTCTGGAGCTTCCACCGAACACGCCATTGCTGCGCTCCGCATGCGGTTCCACCCCCCCATATCCATCTCGCACACTGAATCCTCCCTCACTCGTTTCGTGGCCCCATAGGGAGCCCCACCGAACGCCCCAGCGGCTGCGCTCGCATGCGGTTCCCCCCCCCTCCTCCCCTTCATTTCGGCACACTCCTCACACGTTTCGTGGCCCCGTAGAGAGCTCCACCGAAGGCCCCAGCGTCTGCGCTCGCATGCGGTTCCACCTTCCTTTTTGGCACACCCCTCACACGTTTCGCGGCCCCACAGGGAGCTCCACCGAACGCCCCAGTGGTTGCGCTCGCATGCGGTTCCACCCCACATTTCAGCACATCCTTCACACGCCTCGTGGCTCCATACGGAGCTCCCACGCCCCACACCGAACGCCCAGTGCTGCGCCTCGCCTGCGGTTCCACCCCCCATTCTAGGAACACCCCTCACCACGTTTCGTGCCCCATATGGAGCTCCACCGAACGCCCCCCCAAACAAAAAAAAATGTGGCTGCCCGACGCCTGCGGTTTCCACCCCCCCATCTTTCGCAGACACCTCAATTCGTTTCGTGGCCCCCATAGAGAGCTTCCACCGAAGGCCCCAGCGTCTGGCGCTCGCAATGCGGTTCCACCCCTCTTTTTCGGCACACCCTCACACGTTTCTTGGCCCCATAGGGAGCTCACACGAACGCCCCGCAGTGGCTGGCC